CACACCTGGTGGACCCCACTTCTGGGTGGACCCCACACCTGGTGGATCCCACTCCTGGGTGGACCTCACACCTGGTGGACCCCACTTCTGGGTGGACCCCACACCTGGTGGATCCCACTCCTGGGTGGACCTCACACCTGATGGACTCCACTTCTGGGTGGACCCCACACCTGGTGGACCCCATTTCTGGGTGGACCCCACACCTGATGGACCCTATTACTGGATGGACCCCACTCCTGGTAGACCCCACTCCTGGTGGACCCTACACTTGGTGGACCCCACTCCTGGGTGGACCCCACACCTTGTGCCCGGTGTGACCATGTTTGGGGACCCAGCAAATTTGAGTTCAGGACTTGGCCTGACCAGACACCTCCTTGGGGAAATCAGCTGTGTCCCCCAGATGATTAAGCCCCTCCCACACTCAGTGGTGACAGCTTCCCTTCAGGCCAGACCTGGGGGCCAGGGGTGCCCACTAGCCTTCACCCCTACACTTGTCCCCCAGACACCCATGGCAGAGAGATGGCCTTGGTACTGCCAGCCCATGGCAGCTCAGAAGAGCTCTCTCAGCCAGAGTCCCAGCCTCACCTCCATGGTCCACCCCAAACCCACAGGATACTGGGCATCTATGTCTAGTGAAGATGGTCCCCCAGAGCACAGCAGCCTTCTTGTCAGGGGTGTATCGCACACCCTCGCATGATCTTCAAACCCTGCGACACCCACATTAAGGACTATCGTAAGCTCGGCTGTGTCCCCACCCGAGGCCTCTGAGCTTGATGCCAGAGGACACAACAGGCATCTGTGGACACTGGCACGCTCACTCCCCAACAGGGTGAGCTGGGCACTGGAGGGAGGAGGGGAGACTTGAGAAGTCTCTGTCCTGTGCTCCGTCCTCCCCCCTCAGGGCCCAACCAGGTGAGGCTGCTCTAGGTGAGGCTGGGCCCAAGTACCCCGGGAAGTGCCAGCAACCCAGTGAGGCCTGCTAGGCAGGCTGGGTCTGTGGGACGCTCGCACAGTGGCTGGTCCTCAGGGGAGGAGGGTCTTCAGGTCTTAACAGTTACTGACAACCTTTAGTAACCTAGTGCTGCCTTAACAGAAGTACCACGCGGGGACACCTTCCCTCAGCTTGGGAGGCTCCAAGTCTACTCAGGGCGCCACCAACTGAGCGGCAGGCTGCCTGTTGGCTCTGGGTCCTGCCATCTTCCCGTGGCGTGGTGGCATCTCTCTTCCTCCCGTGGTTGTTAATCTGCTGCTCCTTTATGTCGAGACAGCCTCCAAACACACTACACTAATCCTGCCTCACTAACATAACAAGCTCTGGTGGCGTAGTGCCTAAGGCACTTGACTGCTAACCAGAGGCTGGCAGTTCAAACCCACCAGCCACTCCTCGGAAGGAAGGTTGGGCAACCTACCTCTGTAGTGATACGGGTCGGAAACCCAAGGAAGGGTCACTATGAGTCGGGTCCGACTCGATGGCACATTAACAACAACGTAACAAAGCCCATTCCAAAGGGGTTTACATCCACAGCAACAGGGGTTAGGATTCACGGATTCTGTGGGGACACTGCTCACCCCTTGAGTCTGGGCAATTCTTGGGACACCCTCACCTGGACCGTCCCTGGCAAAAAGACTTTCACAGAGAGATGACGCAAGACAGCCCCTGCAGGGCGGGAACCTGGGGCTTCAGGAGACCCCTCAGAGACTCCTTTTACCACAGGGTTTACATCACCTGACTGAGACCCACGGGAATAACCACAGTAAGAATGTGTGGGCAGTTATTTTAATCCCTTTTCTAACACATTGGTTTTGACGATAAAATGAATATGCTCATCTCAAAGGTGCTTCTGGACAACTCCAGGCCACACGAGACAGTGATTAGCATGCAAAGGCCTGGGGACAAGGGAGGGAGGCACTTACCGAGCTGAGTCTGGGGGCCTCCTGGGGCCTCCACGTCACCCACTCTGGCATGGGCTTGTGGAAAAGTCCCCATTTCCCGACAGGGCAAGGGGACGAGGCCTGGTGTCCAGCTCAGTCAATGGGGGAGCCCAGGGGCTCTTGTCCCTCTCCTCCAGGCCAGTTGGACCCCAGCACGGGCCACACTTGAGCCTCCAGTCTGCAACTTAGCTACAACTCGACCCCTGGGACAAACACTGGAGCCAGGAGGGAGCACAAGGGGTACTCTGGCTGAAGAGTGGAGGGTTCCCAGGAGCGTCCTACGCACACAAAATGTCCCTGAAATGTAAGCACGGGGAGCAGGTGTGGGAAACACCAGCCACCCACTTGCCTTTATGAAGCAAAAGCTGGTCACAAGGAAAAAGAACCAAATGCCAAATGTCCCTAACTCTTGGATTCCTTGAGACCAGGGCTTGTGGAGTGTCAGAGGGTCAAGACGAGTGGGCACCCATCCCGCACAAAAACTGGACACCTGACATCTGTCAGGGTTTGTGTTCATCAGCAGAGCGACCGGACCAGACCTGTTCCGTCAACTCCAATTCACAGCGACCCCGTGTGTCACAGGCTCCGCTCACACGGTTTCAACAACTAGTTGTTCGTTTCTTCTGAGGCACCTGAGTGGACTCAAACCTCCAATCTTTCAGCTAGCTGCCACGTGCCTACCCATCTGCACCACCAGGGACAGCTCAGAGGGAAGTGCTAAGCCCTCCCCGGGTTTGTAGGAAGCTTGAGGGGGTAAAACCAAAGGCAGCACAGGGTCCCCACGTCTCACTCCACAGCCCTAAAAGGGGGATGCCCCATTGGGGTACACACTATCAGTAAGTGCACTCCTTGACCAGTCATTAGCAGAAATTACTTCCTGTTTAAAGGGCCCATTGATTGAACCCATGTTGCATGGCAGCAACGTGCGGGAACATTAACCCCAAGGTCCACAACGTACTTCCCCAAGAGTGCAGCGATCACCTGGGACCGACATGGAGCTGTGGTTTGACTGGGATCTCCTCCAAGTGGGAGGAGCCCTCCTGGAGGGTCAGAACAGGAGCCTCCTAGGGCCCGTGACTACCAGTCCTGGGAGGCTGCCATGTCTCTCTGCCTTGTCCAGCTCTCATGGCACATGACCCTGTGGGCCTACCCCAGACTCAGCTGGTACATTTCCTCCTCACTCACTGGTAAGTGTGAATGACTCAGGGGCTGCACTGATGTCTGCAGCTTCCAAGGCATAAAACGTAAGAAGCAGGGAAGGGGATGGGGAGACGGGAGAGGAGCAGGTAGAGGGACGCACGGTACGTGGCCGTGACCGCCAACTCCCTCAGCTTTGCTGTGTGTCTGCGAGTGTTTGTTCTCCAATGGTGGGGACTAACCCGAGGCCAAGCTCTGTAAACGAGTGAAGGCCACCCGCTCCCTGAAGTGACCCTCCAGCAGACAGGACCTCAGGTGGGGTGTGGCAGACCCATAGGGGCACCCTGAAAGTGACTCTCACACTGGTTTTGCAGTTATCAACAATACCAAGCTGTGCAACGGGTCAAGGACGGGACACCAAGGTGCTAAAGACGAACGGTTTATTAAGGCTTGGATTCTCCCAGGGGGAGCCGCTGCATGCCGCCCAGCACTTCCTGCAGCAGTAAAGGCTCGGAGAAGGTGGGGCCCCCTAATACAAGTCTGAGTAACACGGCACGTGTCACGCCGGAGGCCGCTCTCTGGCACAGCGGCGCACATCACGCGGGGCCAGGAGCCACAGGCGCAGCACGTCCAGGCGCCAACTTCGGCTTGGGCTGGCGAGCTCTTCAGCAGCTCCCTCACGCCAGACGGGACAGAAAAGTCCATTCTGCAAGGGTTTGTTTTTGCTTTTTCACTCATCCAACAAGAAAAAAATAAGACCCCGACAGTGACAGTACCACGGGAGGCAGCAGTGCCACCGCCTGTGTGCCCAGCCCTCTGCAGCTCAGCATCACTCGTGACCAACAGCATTAGGCTCGCAAGTGAGGAAAACGAGAAATGACAACGGTCTGCAGCAAACGAAGCACCGTGACATGGTGCCGGCCGCGGGCACACTGCAGACCCTGGCCCACAAGTGTCCTCATCTGCTGCCAAGGACAGGAGAGCCACGAGGGCAGCAACCTGCCAGGCTGCCCGCAAAGTGTAGGCGTCCCTCCCAGTTTGAGAAATGAAAACTCAATCTGCCTTCTGTGTAGCAGAAAATCAAAGGGGCAGCCGGGGTTTTCAGACAGATCTTAAGAGATACTCAAAATGGCCCGTGTCGGCCGAGCGGCCACCTCCCGACATCTTCACAGGACACTTGTAAAGACCACGCACCTGTGGTCCTCACATTTGCGGTGAAGCAACACAAGGGCAAGGGATGGGACGTCTCCCACAGAGAGAGCAATGACCGTGAAGGTAACAACCCAACTTCTGCCAAAAGAAAACAAAACTTTTGGGGTGAATGAGGTTCCTGCTTTGTTTATAAGGGTATTTGTATTCTGCACAGGCCAGTCTGACCGATAATCTGACAAAAACAAAAATACGCCTTTATTAGTGGGCTCTACAATATTACAGTACATAGAAAAATACAATGAGTGCAGATCCATCCGGGCAAAATAAACTACAAAGAACCGAGAAATTCAACAGCCGGATCCCCACACAGGACAACGCGGCGGAGCTGGCGCCACCAGCCAGCACCAGGCATATGTGTTTAAACCTTTGTTGTCAGTCAAACGTCAGAATAGGTTAGAAACTGGCTTATTCTTATTGTTTGTTTCGATTCTGCCGTTCCTGTAAAAAGAAAGAGGAAGAAGTTGAGGACACCGAGTGACACACATGGACGCCCCTAGAGCACCCCCCACTGCCCTGAGCTCGCAGCCCGGTACCCACTGGCCCACACCTCACCATGCCCTCCCCACCCAGAAGGACCTTTACTATAAGCACAAAAAGCCACCACTTCAACCTGCTTGCTGGGGGATCTACCTTACTGTCATCAGCTTTCCCCTTAAACGTCACTGTCATTCTATGTGGCAAGGCCCTGGCAAGGACCGTCAGAAACTAGCTTAACATGCCCCGAGGGGTTAAGGGAAGGTTCACACAGGACAAGGGGCGGGGGGACCTCGACAGCAGGTTACCAGTACAGTCTCACTAAGGAAAAGGAAGACATGAGAGGTACACAAAAGGTACACCCAGCCAAGGTGAATCCTGCTACATACACAATACTGCATTATCAGTGATAACTAATATTAACCCCTGGGTAGATACACAGGTAGACATGCAAGATGATCAGGGATGGGCAGGTAAACGGTCAGACCTGTGACCACATGGGTTTAGCAGATGCTATTTCAATATGCTGCATTTGCTATAAAACATCCACGTACATGAGAGTGAACTGGGCAAAGTTATGAACACTTCTTAGCCACACTCAAACACCTGGAGGGAGTGAGTAGGGCCTGCAGGCTCAGGACCATGGTCAAGGGGACATGAAGCTCAGCTGTGTAACATATTACACAACAGGTCCACTTCCTACCTTGGTGAGTAGTGACTAGGATCTTAAGAGCTTGCCAGCAGCCATCTAAGATGCAATGATTGGTCTCTCCTCATCCAGGGCAAAGAAGAGTGAAGAAAATCAAAGACACATGGAAACAATCAGTCCAAGGGACTAGTGGGCCATGGGAACCTCAGCCTACCCTGACCAAAAGTAGATGGTGCCCAACTACCACTGCCAACCACTCAGAAAGGGATCAAAATTGGAGAGTGTGTGTGGGAGGGAATGTAGAACAAAAGTAAAAATCTTAAAAAGACCAGGATTATTGGTCTGACAGAGGCTGGTGAAACCCCTGAGACTATGACCCTTAGTCACTCTTCAGGCCTGGAATCGAACTCAGTCTCGTGCACTTACACCAGCCAAGTCCACTCCTTGGAACAAACAACCTGGGAGAACAGAAGGGCAGTATTCACGTGGAAGAAAGTGGAAAGGGGGCTGCTCTGTCATGGGGGCTGCAATCCACGTCCCTTGACGAGAAGTGTATGAACTACTGAATGGAAAACAAACCCGCTCCACAAACTTTCACCCAAATCACAGTAAAAAGCTCAACAAAAGCACGGAGGCAGACAGTGCTCCTGGGCTGACACAAGGTGCTGCCACCTGAGGTCTCATCTCCTCCAACCGTACAGGTGCCCAGGAAGCCACATGAGTACAGGCAGAAAGCAGGCTGGCCCTCCTCCCGCCCAATACCCCTTCAGACACCAGGCGGAATCAGCGCCTCCACCAGTATCTCCTCTGCCGGCACCTCTGGCAGGTTCATATCCTGCTCCCACAGAGAAAAAAACCTTCCAGAGGACGGCTGGCACAGAAGCCCGGGCCTTACAGCCATGCCTTGCTCCACATCGGCTAGCCTGGACTCTACTCAGCATGGTCCAGAAGCAACCCCAATCACAGCCTTACAGTGTCAGCACCAGTTGGCCCTGGACGGAAACATGCCGTCCAGCCCTGGGTCCAAGGCGCCCCGAACTCATCCTCCAGTCTACTGAGATGCAGACATAGTGAGAACTGCTGGGCGGGGAACTGGCCCCTGACAAACAGCCAACAACCGGCAGGGTCACAGCTGAAGAGTAAGTTACGGAACACACTGACTGCCTCCCTTTTGCTGGCACCGTCCCCAGCATCTTCCACACAGCTCTGGAGCCTTCTGACCTGGCCAGGGCGGCCCCCGGGATGCTTAGGGCGCTCCTGAATCAGACTCCTTCTCTTTAAAAGGCTCGCTGTCTGTGGATAACAGATGGCACATGGCCACCAAGTTAAGGATGAACGCTTCCTCCCTGCTCGGACTGCACTGCTGCCACGCTGAGACACGCTGGACTGGGCGTTCTCTCAGAGAATCCCAGGTACCCGTCTCCCTGAAACCAACACCAGCATCTCTTTTGAGATCAAAATGGCGGTCAGATGAGTCGCTCTGGAAACTGCCTATCCTGCAAGCTCTGAAAACCTGCTCCCTACACAACTACTCAACAGTCCCTTTTCAAAAAACTGACAAACACACAAAGGGCGGCAGAAGGCTGTGGGGCTCGTCCACTCTCCATTCTCGCCCCTGTGAACACACACTTGTCTTCAGCCAATCCCCAAGTCAAGGGCTGGCGTGTTGGGCGCATGCGGGGACTTCTTTGGAGCACATGGCGAGTGAACCATGCAAGGCCTTCACTACCTGAAGAGCTCCTAGGAAAGACGGCAGATGGAAAATACAAATGGGGACTTGGTCTGACCCAGAGCCTTAACAGCCGGTGCTCTGCCGAGACCACAGTTCCAAACTTAAGCTGCGGCGCGAGAGGGCACTGCGGTCCTACAGAACCCAGCGTGTGTTGGCTCTGCACCCGCTCAGCGGCTTTCAACCATTCTGATTATTCAGAAGCAGACCTGGATGCCACACCCTCACCCAGAGGCGGCTCTGTCCCCAACAGCCTGGCAGCCTCACCATCACCTGACAGCCTGTACAGCCCCTCCCCTCCAAGAACACATGGCATGGGGGCAGCACCAGCAAGTCCAACCTGGAAACACCCAGGGTCCTGACTCCTTCAAGGACTGATAACCTCCCCACACACACTGGTGCCACCCAGGCCCAGAGCTTCCAGCCTGTGGCTGAGCACGGCTCGTGCTCTAATGTCAGCTGCCGACAAGATGCACTCTGACAAACACCCACAGGACGCTGATGCTGCTGGTCTGGGGACCTCATTTTGAGAGCCATTTGTTTTCCTACACAAACCCCAGAGAGCCTGGAAGAGCCTCATGAGCAGAATGAGCTGGGGTACTCGTGGACTGGAGACTTCCCAGCTTGGCTAACGGACAGTTTGAGAAAGGGCCACAATATCCTCTCCTCAGATGCCTCCCGGTTTCCCCAAGGCAGCACCCACCATTTAGTGGTAGGAGGAACAGAACAAGGCAGGGTGAGAGGTGGGCTCCTGAATGGGATCAGATGGTATGGCTGCACAGTAACGGGAGTTACCTGAGCAGCCGTGCTAACCCACCAAGCAGGTTACAGGCCAGACTATCCCGAAGTTCATCACAAACCCCCAGGACCATGTAAATGACAGAAAAAACCCAAGCTCTGCACTATTTAATCAAGAAACCACACGTACAAAAAGCCAGCTGACAGCATAAAGACTGCTAAGGACTTAAGGTTTCATTAGCTATTGTCCCTATAAATTCCCTAAGTTAGAAGTTTAGACCTAAAAAGCTGAAACTCAGAATTTTAATTACTAAATGGCAGCCTCTCCTTGTAAGACCAGAACAGGAACCAATACTGAGTCAAAGTGTTGCAAAATCTGAGTTCTCTACAATACGCTTAACCCTTAAAGCTGCTAATCACATTACTGTATACCCCATAATTGCATTACTATACACCAGGCCTTCAGGTGAGCCGTATTTCCTTGTAACGGGGAGGACTGATAAAGCACTGCAGGGTCAACTGATGTTCTGACATTTCAAGAGAGAAAGGACATCCTAGCACCAAAAAAGCAGGCGTGTCTAGCCTGCCTCTCCGGAGGAGTGTGCCCCAACGTCCTTCCCCATCTCTGGGTGGTTTCCTGAGCTGAGCACGTGTGCCTGAGGAGCAGAGAGCAAGCACCCAGGGCCCACCCCACTGGCGAGCTCTCACAGGTAGGCTCTGGCAGTCTCATTACCTATGACAGGGAAGGAGATGACTTGGAGTCCCATGGGCAGGTGTTTAGCGACTGGCTCTAAACATGTGCACCTCTTATTACCAAGCATCCTAGATTCCAGCCTCTCACGCTGCCCTGCTGCCATTTCATTTACTACCTTGGTAGAACAAGGTTAAATTCCCAGAACAAACAGGACACTGGAGTCTCAAAAATAAGAAAAGACCTCTGGGCCCACACTTTCAACTGTCAAGCAGCTGAGCCCCAGCAGCCTCTGGGGGGCCGAAGGGGTGATGGGACTCTCTTAGCCCTTAGCACCCTGTCTATCCCAGTGCCATGTGAACAGTGTGTGCCACGTGCACCTAACTTGACAAAGGTTGGGAAGAAAACACTGTTCTGGAAAAGACTATTCTTCAGAAAGAAAAGAGAACCATAATAAGTACCCTCAAGGTGTTCCTAACTGAATCGACACTGTAGAAGAACCAATCAAGTCTCTTGAACTTAGAAAGTAATCGAAGTTGTGCAGTGACATCCACTCAACATCACATCACCCTGGTGACTCTGGAAAAGCCATATGTTGCTACTGGCGCCTGTCCTGTGACCACACTCTGGTCACACCAGAATAGCCATGAATAGGGCCTGGTGACACCTGCCCCCACCTGCTGGCAGCCAGTGTCTCCTCCCACATCGACCTTCCTGTCTGATGAATGCGCAAGGTCACGCCCATCAGCCATAGCTGGGTGAAAAGCCCACACTCACCTTGCGCACCACCTCCTCCTCCTCCTGGCGCTTCTCGTAGTGGGAAAAGTCATCAAAGATGGAGGTGGTGTGCCTGTAGGAAGAGATAATCTTCAGCACTTGCTTTGCCTTCTCCAAGGGCACCTCCTGGGTGTCACGGGAGTTTGTGACAGGCTTGTTGTCATTGTTCTCCAGCCGGATGTGCCGGAGTTGGTTGTTGGGCACATCCTTGACAAAAATCCACTTGACGTCGAACTTTCCCTTCCACTTGTCCTGAGACCAGACCCCCGCGCTGGTGCCGTAGTCCACTGGCGACTTCATCTCAGCCACACCACAGAAGTGCCCACTGCCATTAACGCTGAACAGCAGGTAGACGGGCCCCTTGCTGCCCAGAGAGCGGAAGGCACCGTCCAAGCGTTTGTTGCCGTGCTCCGTGCTGCACCAGATGGAGTACTTGATGGAGCGGTGGATGTCGTCCTCCGAGTAGCTCTTGATGATGAACACGCGGCCGCTCTTCAGGTTCCAGTCAAACTCCTTAGGGTTGTAGCTGTGGACAGCTTTCAATTTTTCAAGAACAGGGTGTGATTCTACACTTGGGGCTGCGCTGGGCTGGACATTCCCAGGAGAGTTACTGTCGCTGCTGGCCCCTGCACCCTGCCCAAACGCCGCATTCCTGCTGCGTGGGGCCACCCAGCGGGTCTGGGGTGGCTGCTGAGGGGTCTGGTACTGCGGCTGGGCCAGAGGTGGTGGCTGTGCTGGAACCTGCTGGACAATCTGCTGTGGCTGTGGGGCTGACTGGGGGGATGGGGTCTGCTGGGGAGCTGGGGCCTTCGTCATAGGCCCCTTGTTGTCCCAGGTGCCAATGTCCATGTTATGCTTGATGGGCGGGGGTGGCATCGTGCCACCCATCCCAGGCCCGCTCTTGGTTTTCATCTTGGGCTGAAGCTTTGCCGGCTTGCTGGCGATGGCAGCCCAGGAGGTGGGCTTAGAAACAGGCATGTTCACACTCGGTCCTCCGTTGCCAGAAAGAACGCCAGTCATCACTGCACTGCTCACGACAGACCCCACGGTCTTGACTGCAGACGTGGCCACATCCCCAATCTTCAGGCCAACCATCCCCTGCTCTAGGCTGTTCATCCCAGGAGCCTTGTTGAGCGTGTCACTGTGGAAACCGGTCTGTCCGTCCACAATCGTGCCACCCAGGGAGCTGGGAGGATAGGTGTAGCTGCTTCCATAGGCTGAGCTCTGAGTCTGCTGCCCTTGTGATCCACTTGTTCCCCATGCTGAGAAGGCAGGGTTTTCGGGGAAAAAATTAAACCTATGCTGATAGATGTTGTTGCCCAGACCCCCGGGCTGCCCAAAAACAGCATCGTGCATAAAGTGATGGTCTCCATTGCTGAGCTGTCCGTAGGTAGTGAGGTATGGAATGGGAGGGTCCCCTCCAGTTGACCACGGAGCCTCATTGAGGGAGTAAGGAAACCCGATGGATGGTGGGTAATAACTGGACAGGTAGGGGTCAGTCATTGAGGGGTAACTGTTACTCTGTGAAAACAAAAGTGTGAAGAGTCAGATATTTCCACAGTTTAAAGTGACAGCCACCTGTGGCTGTGTCCTGTTTACACACAGGACAATCAGGAACAAGATCAGTGCAGCACCAGGCTCCTATCTCGAAAGGACAGCAGAGACAGCTAGTGAAAGAACAGACTGACGACAAGAGACATTAACAAAGACCAGACCCAGCTGTCATCCTACAACACAACACCCCTTGCACTGGTCGAGGCTAAATGACGCGTTCTGCAGATCCGGAGCTGATCAGGACTCCCAAGACCCTGCCACTTCCCATGCCCCAAGCCTTCCTTGGCACAGGCTTAAATGCTGTCCGAGCAACAAATGCACATTTAAACATGATTGTAAATTGGCTCTGCCCACAGAGACGCCTGTTCCCTTGTCTGGCCACCAGCCCACAGGGCAGGCTGTGTGCAGTGGCCATGGTGCTGTGCAAACAACTTTAGCCATCAGGACAGTTTACTGGTAAGTCATTTGCTATCCCTCTGGCATGTCTCCTTCAAAACTCTGCAACCCATGCCAAGTGGAAAGTTGCAAGGCTGCTCACTGTTAAGACGTCCAGCATCAGAGTTCCCCACGTTCCTCCACGATGGCTCCAACGCTGGGCCGCAGTTCGCACAACAGCCCTCCCACCCGCCCTTCCCTGCGTCAGGACTGCACAACTCTGGCCCTAGTTCCAACACCGCCTGTAGGCACCAGTGCCGGCCGTCCCGGCCTCAACTCCCAGGAAGCTAAACCTGTCTTTACTCTAACTGGGACCAGAAAAGCACCCTCCCACACGGAGCAGGCGCAGCAGCGGCTGCTATGACATATAGCTGCCTCTTTCGGAGCTCGGTCATCACCAGGCACTGCAAAGAGCTCTCCAGACACATGCTTGCACTCTCAACGTTCCTGAGCTGTGCAGGCTACGTAACCTAGATAAGCCATCTATGGGCTAACTGCAAGCGTCCAAGTCACAGGACCTAAGTTTCTAACAGCCACAGTTGCACACACTGAAGTTCTGGAAATAAACTCAGGGCTGTCAGTGGGCCCATCATCACCTCTGACTTGAGAGCAGGTCTCTTCTGGCTCCAGGAAAAGGACCACACAGGACAAGACGACACAACCGTGCTGCTGTCCTAATACTGGAGGCTGGCTCTCCTCAGTGACCCTAGCACCGTTCCACCACCCGCTCTATCAAGCATCGGGATAATGCAGGGCCTCAGCAGAGACGGCCAACATGCTTACAGGACAAAATAAGAGACTCTTAACATGAGAAAATACACCCAAATCTGGGGGCTTAAGGCTCCTCCCAGTGACTGACTAATGAAAAGCAAAACAAACCACAATCACAATCACAGAAGATGGTTTTAATACTCCGTGATATTCACAGTGGCACAGCAGTGAAGCACTCAGCTGCTAATCAAAAGGTCAGTGGTTCAAATCTACCAGCTACTCCATGGAGAAAGACGTGGCAGTCTGCTTCATAAAGATGACAGCCTTGGAAATCCTATGGGGGTTTGGAATCAACTCAATGGCATACGACAATTATCCCTAAATTGTTTCATTTCTAATTTCCTTTGACAAACTAATCAGTAAAATATAATAAAACCATGTATTTATCCTACAATTAACAGCACAGCTCTTCCATACTTACTCAAATAGAACCACATTTTTAAAAAAAAGAAAAGAAACAAGTCCAACCTCATTTCGAATGAGCTGGACCATTTAAACTGGAGTTGGAATGCTGACTTCCTATGCCTGGTTTTCTGAGAAGGAAGGAATCCTGTCTGAACTACTCCAATACTCTAAGTTTCACAATCAAGTGACAGGTCCATCAGTGACAGAGGAAGAGGCTGGAGGGAGGGACAGAAGAGGCACTTCAGAGCCCAGATGGACAGACATGCTTGGAAAATGGTGAGAAGCATCTACTTGAAAAACAAACTAAATTATGCAAAAGGAAAAGCCACTGAGGGCAGTTAAGAAAAACGTCCCAGGGCTGGAGCAGGCCCACCCACCCTATAGACAGTCCCTCAGAATCAGCCCGAGGGGAACATAACAAGTATTTCAAAAAAGCAAAACCTCGAACTGCAGGCAACTTTATGGCTGGCCCTTCAGAGGCTGATTCCAACCCCTCAACTGGGCAGGTCTCTATGCAGAGGTAACAGTTTTGGACAGAACTTTTCTGCACATTGCATGCCTCAGTAAGCTTAGTTTGGAGAGACCTGCCACTAAAAATCACGGCGAAGTTCCACAGCATCCTTCCTGTCACATTTCCGCTAATGGCAGATTCTGGTCAATGTGCACACTGGTGTGTACTGTTAAGGGAGCCCACATTTCCAGACACAAGTGCTGGAGACCTCGGCCCCAGGCAAGCGCTGTGGTGCACACTGGCTTGGCCTAGGCTGCCAGTGCATCTCTCCCAGAGGCTTCTCAGGCAGTGGACACACAGACCTGACATAGCATCTAGTTAGCTGGGCTTTGTGCTGCCGGGTAATAGCCACAAAACAATAAACCAGACAGAAGTCTTGGTGGCATCAATTTTTAAGACATACTTGTTTTGTTTGACTGCAATCTCTCTCCAAGTCAGAGGCCTCCTGCAGAAAGAGGGTACAAGTACCGATGTCCGCAAAACAAATCACAATCACAGAAGATGGTTTTAATACTCCATGATATTCAACAGTGGCACAGCAGTGAAGCACTCAGCTGCTAATTGAAAGGTCAGTGGTTCAAATCTACCAGCTATTTATTAAGTATAATGTTCCGGTCTGCTCCTTCATGATCCTGCCAGGTGTGGGTGTGGACAATCAAGTATTTAAAATTGAGGAGCAGATGCCATGTCCCCTGCCAAGGCACCCCAGCTCACGTCTCATGACACTAGGCATGGCGGTGCTAGCAGGCCAGCAGCATTCAGCTGAGCTGACAGATGTCCTCATGGGTGGTTTCGCCACTCTCAAGGGTAACCCCATCACAAAACTTTGAGTTCAACTACACTTAACCTAACTTACAAAACTCCATCTAAACAACCACCAGTGATGCTACCAGGTGTATATGAGGACTCTGGCTGACCAAAATCCTACACACACACAAGATCCTTTGAAGCTCAAAGAATCCCACTTGCAACGAACAAGTACCTTCTCAATTTTCTGCAACAGAACTTCAAACTTTTGAAAACAGAAACGTGTACAAAAATCTATACACGGTCTTACAAAAAACATGAAAGGCATGCCTTGCTCTTGCCTATTTTAATCACCTTTCTTAATCACCAAAGTATGAAGGTTTCCCAAAACAGAGAAGCCACAGTAGCCTATACTGACTCCTGGAAACATGCATGATTTCCCCAAGCACCACAACAATGATGGTATGTTCATTTAGCCCATCTGTATAGTGGTTTCACGGATGTGTAGTGTGTATAAAAACTTATGAAACTACACTGCGAGTGTGTGCAATTTATGTCAATATTGCCTCAGGAAAACTGTCAAAGCACAGAACACCAAGTAGCAGGAGGTGTCTAAGCACCCCCAAAGAGTGGTGAGTTTATGGGCACTGGCCACACCAGATGATATCTCCAACTGAGTTATGAGCACCTAACTGTGTGGACATCAAAGTGTGTCCTTAATCCGAGGTGGACAACAACAGGCAAGCAAGGGCATTTCTAAACAGATATCTTCTTCAGAAAAATCCAGATCACAGACAATGACAATCTCCAAATGACTCGACAACAAAACAGCACTGGAAGAAGCGGAGGCAGAAACAGGGCAGTGGCTCCAAATTAAGAAACGAGTGACACAAGACAAAGATCAAAATGTAGCCATTTGCTGAAAGCATTTCAGGAACACCCGGACTGTCTGTGGGGAACCCCGACTCTGGTACAAACTCTTCCACAACCCTGAGCAAAGCACGTGCCCCCTCTGGCCCTGTTTCTTCATCTAGAAAACCAAAGGTCCAGAAACACACATAATCTAAGCATGCTCCCAGGTATGCGTCTCACCCTAGGGCCAGGTGGGCATTTCTGGGACACCTGTTACCAATCAAGAGCACGGCTTTACTCAAGTTATGTGCTCATTAGCCTGCTGCAAGTGCACATCTGAACACGAAGGACTGGGGTGCCATCTTGGGCTGCTCACGGGCAGCACTGACCTAATCAATGGTGTCTCCACACAGCCTTCCCAAGGGCTAGGCAGAGCTGTAACTACACTGCTGACACCAAGAAGAATCTGCCCAAATTCAAAGTCTACCCAGATCACACGCGAGTGCCTAGCTTATAAAAACGTATCTCAAGTGCAGGGAAGTGACACACCTGCTTCTCTGACTGACAATGCTTACAGCATTCAAGCGGTAAAAAGAAAAATAAGCAAAAAGTAAGGTATTCAAAACAAACGTTGTTGTTGTTATGTGCCGTAGAGTCGGACTCGACTCATAGCAACCCCTCCTTGAGTTTCCGAGGCAGTATCACTACAGAAGTAGATTGAACCGCCAGCCT